ATATATATATAATAGGGAACACTATTTCCTACTATAACATGGTCTTGTTCTTGTTGTTTTCTCCAAACAATATAAGCTTCAGAAGGTAGATGAAAAACTGTGGGAAAAGCTTGAATATTTAGATAGGACAAAGAAAGATGAGCCATTAGACAGGGACACAGAAAAAAAATACAAGAAGAGGTACTAAAGAGAAGACTTCATTTTATTTCAAAGAGCTGGTAGAAGGGCAGTCATCCCTGTGGAGGAGTTTGAGAATGGCAGAAGATGAGTTTGGAGAACAGATTTTTAAGGGGGTTTATTGCTCTTTAGGCATATATGCCTCAATTCTTAAATTACATGAGAAAATGAGTACACATCTGAATCACTTTTGTTTCAAAGTCCAGTTAGAAGAACAGAAACCACTGTATTTCAACAGAGGGAATTTCATACCAGGAAATTGTTGTATGCATGATGGAAAAATGGAGAATCCCAACAGGGCATGCAGGGGCAACATTAAGATAAACAACAGGAAATGGTTACCACCCTCAGGGTTAGAGGGGAACTGCGAGGAGGCGGGAGGCAATGAAACTCCAGCTCAATAGCCAGGACCTTTGGCAAGATCCAGAACTACTATGGTTACTGGCCAGCAGGAGCTCTTGGCACAGAGGGAGGGACTGACTGGTGGGAGCTGGAGGCTCAGTGGAAATGCAGCCACTTGAAATGGAAGCTATGAGAAGCAGCATTCTGGCTTCTCCCAGGCTCCCTCTCCTCCAGTTTAGCTAAACATACCAGAAGTCAGAGGGCCAACGAAGCTGCCAAATACAATTCTCTCTGAAACACAGCAGGGCAGGGAAAAGGTCAGGAATAGATGAGAGCAAAGAAGCAAATAACTGGCACAAGTTTCCACTGTATTTCTTTGAATTCGTCTCTTTGTGGAATGGAACCAGGACAGCTTCCCTTTATGTGGTTTATCCGTGCTCCAAGACCAATAGAGAAGGTCAGAGTTGAATATCTTTTACTGAACATTACAAAGTGAAAAACAATACTACTTTGCTACTTGTCAATTACAGAAGCTGGCCCAATTCCCTTCCACTCCTCCAATTTCTTTTTTTTTCCCCTGGGGAAGGAGGATATTGGGGATTAAACTCAGGGGCACTCAACCACTGAGCCACATCTTCAGCCCTATTTTGAATTTTATTTAGGGACAGGGTCTCACTGAGTTGCTGAGGCTGGCTTTGAACTCATGATCCTCCTGCCTCAGCCTCCTGAGCTGCTGGGATTACAGGTGTGCACCACAACACCTGGTCAATTTCTTTTTTAAATCTCCCTATTAGCTGTAGGTGCTGTACAACCATCTTTGTGCAATTAGTTAACTATGATCTTGTAGTGGAGTTTACCATACTACTTTTTTTCTTTTTTTTTTTTTTTGTTGGTTCTAGGGTTTGAACCCAGGCACACTTTACCACCGAGCTACATCCCCCGACCCCCTGAAACCTCTGCCCAGTCCTTTCTATTTTTTATTTTGATAGAGGGTCTAGCTAAGCCACTGAGGTTGGCCTCGAACTTGTGATATTCCTGCCTCAGTCTCCCAAGTCACTGAGATTATAGGCGTGTGCCATCATACCCAGCACCATCCTACCCTCCTTCTCTTTCCTGTCTTAAGGACTGGGTAGCAGCTGAGAGTGGATTGCTACATCTTGCTTTGGCATCTACCATATCTGACATACCTTAGTTCTGACTATGTTTGTACATTTAGCATAGGGGATACCATATTTGCCATGGTAGATGATTGTCACTGAACATTTTGTTATATTTTCATTTCCTGTATTTGTAGGTGGAGTGATTTAGGGTGGGTTTAATACAGGATTTTTTTTTTCTGGTATTATGGTTAAAAGTGATAGAAAACTGGCACATTCTACAAATATAAGTCACCAGCCTGGTCCTGTAGCACAAGTCTGTAATCCCACCAATTTGGGAGGCTGAGAGAATTTGAGGCCAGCCTTGGCAATTTGGAAAGGACTTTCTAAAAAAAAAAAAAAAAAGAGCATGAGAAGAAGATCACCATTAAGCAGGGATGAGAAGTGGGAGGGAATGGGAGAGAGAAGGGGAATTGCACGGAAGATGGAAGGAGACCCTCATTGTTATACAAAATTACATATAAGAGGATGTGAGGGAAAAGGGGAAAAAATTTTAAAAAAGAGAGAAATGAGTTATAGTAGATGGGGTAGAGAGAGATGATGGGAGGGGAGGGGAGGGGAGGGGAGGGGAGGGGGGATAGGAAGGGGATAGGAAGGGCAGCAGAATACAACAGACACTAGTATGGCAGTATGTATAAACGTGGAAGTATAACCAATGTGATCCTGCAATCTGTACACGTGGTAAAAATAAGAATTCATACCCCATTTGAATCAAATGTATGATATCTGATATGTCAAGATCATTGTAATGTTTTGAGCAACCAATAAAAAAAAAAGGCGGGGGTGGGTTGCTGGGGATGTGGCTCATTGTAGAACACCTCTGGACTCAATCCCCAGTACCTCCCTGCAAAAGTTATAAATATCAAGCATCATTATTGTTACCTTTTTCAAAGAGGCTGTAAATGCCCTCTTTTTTCAAAGAGCCTGTCAAGCCAGGTGCAGTGGTATATGCCTGTAATTCCAGTGACTCAGGAAGCTGAGGCAGGAGGATGACAAGTTTGAGGCCAGCCTCAGCAACTTAGTGAGACTGTCTCTCAAAAGTTTTTAAAAAGAAGGGCTGGAGATGTGGCTCAGTGGTAGAGTGTCCCTGGGTTCCATCACCAGTACAGGCCCAAAAAATTAAAAAAAAAAAAAAAAAAAGAAAAAGAAAAGAAAAGAAATCACACTGTGTTGTGGCTACCAAGAAATGGTTAGTCAAGTGACTTGAAAATTTCAAGCAAATAACTGGTTAGTAAAATGTGAGTTCATGCTGTAAAACACATCCTATGAATTGCACTATTTGTCTTTCAATTATAGAAATTGGTTTCATTTTCTAACATGCTTAGTTGTTATTGGATCTTTATAGCCGTGTAGTCTGTACTTTTTGTGGTTTAAAGATTTAAATTTGTTATGGAAACAGGCTTTTCAGTTGACCAATGATTAGCTAATTTCTGATAGTACAAAAGGAAATATATTGCCCCAAGCCTGCTGTTTTCATTTCCTCATGGGGAGAAGCAGCACAGTATAGAAAAAAGGCAGACACAACATACTGAACCTCTGTCACCATGGGGAACTGGGCTGTCAACGAGGGGCTCTCCATCTTTGTCATTGTAAGTACCAACAAGAGATTAATTATGAATACTCTGACATGTTTGTGTTCTCTTGGAAGCTAAAATAGAACAACGTTGTTTTGTTTCTTTGATAAATTGATTGAGTGTAGGAACAAATGTCTATCTTTAGAAGTACTGAGTTCATTTTCCAAATTCTTTAGTAGAAAGAATGTATCTTGGGTGCTCATTTCTCCTGGGTTATTTCTGAGTTCTTAGGAGTACTGTTTGCCAGCATTTCAGAGAGTGTAAAAGAGAGTTCCTGCTAATGATCCTTCATTCTTAGTGTTTATTCATTACTCAGAGACAAATGTTCCTACTTTCTGCGTTTAAACTACTTAAAAATGGCCAATGGAAATTTTGTACCATTTTTGCAATAGAAGACTGGCACATGTATGAGAAATTGGCCTTACTTCAGTAATGGTACTAAAACCAAAGTTCTCAAATTTCTTTTTAAAAACAAGTACCTTCTTTTTCTCCTGTGGTCTAAACTTGAGTTATTTATAAAGTTAACTAAGATTCAAGAGAAAATAATTGAAATAAATTGTCTATACTCACACATATATAGTGTGTATATATAATAAACTCTCTCTCTCTCTCTCTCTCTCTCTCT